CCCCCAATAGAGCTGGACTCCACTCATTCCTGGTTGGAAATTGCTGTGAATTAATTATTGTGCTAATTCTACAGACCTTGTCTTACGATGTGGGTATAATGCAAGCACACTGCAACAGAACCACACCCTTGAAGGTCATTTTTTTTATTTCGGCGACTCTAAGCTTATCTAATCTTGCCATTATTGCTCTGTTGATGTCTTTTTTTTTTTCTCCTCAAGCTGTCAAAAGATTGTGAAGCTGTTTTGCGTTCTTCAACGTGTTCATTTAGGGTGTCGTGTGGTTTTACGGTTTCCTCGTAGGTCGCATTGAGGACAGCACACGCAACCATGAAGGCAACGATCTCTGCCGCCGGCTGCACCAGCTCTTTGGAAGTTCAAACCTAACCTAGTTCTAACACATACACAAGTATTTACTGCACAAACTAGCTCTTGCATAGAAATTAGACGTCACTACAACCTGCTCTGTAGTTAACCAGACCCACTGACCAAGCTAATGCTAGCTTGCTAATATGTGACCTGTTCAGACTGAAGAGTAAAAGAGTTATGTGAGCTGACCATTCATCAATATAATGATTATGTTAACTGGAAATACTTCAAATTACATTTCAGAAAAATGACTAATATACATACATTTACCCAATATTGTGCCAAAAGGGAACATTTTAGCTCTGTTAGCATAAACAGATCTTTCCCACTCACAACAAACTGCATGAAAAGTAACAAACCTCTTCTTCATGTGTACAGATCGAAATAAGACCGGATGTCACAAAGGATTAAAACTACATTTTGGAAGTTATGCTACAGCGACTTCCTGGTTCCATACACCTTAACATTAAAGTCTTAAACAAGCTGAACCATGTCTGTAGTTTTAAGGGTGCAAGCTGATTTAGTTTGTGATAGAAACAACTTCTCAATGGACTCACAAACAGCCGGTGCAACCCGACCAAAGTCCCGCCATCTTTCCCACCTAGCCACCGCTTGTTAGCATTCAGCAAAAAACGTCAAAAGAATTAGTTTTTTTTATTTTTTATTTTTTTCAAATGTCGCTGCCGTTGTAAAAGGTCCGGCACACATTCAGCACAAAATATGGAGAGAAAGTCATAAGAACACAATTCTGCATTTCGGATCAAATGGACCCAGTTAGCCGCAGCAGCGAGTGGAGCAGAGGACAAGTCCTAAATTTGTTCATGACCAAAATGAAGGAAACCACTGAAGATAGGGAGGAGCATGTAGAGGTGATTCAAAGGATCATTATTAGTATGTATGATTTATAAAAGATTATGAATTACAAAACCTTATGCATACGTTTTCTTTTGTCTGTAAGTGCACTTAAGCATCCTTTCCTATGAAGGTTTTGTGATTACTGAGTTACTCGGAGCCTTTCGATGTTACAGTAGTACTCTGAAATGAGACTACACTAGTGGTTTTGGTTTTTCTAACATGGTGGTATAGTTCCAATGTTACAGTAAAGCTCCTGAACTTATTAAACTGCTCAAGTGAAATGAATAATAAATGCAACTTCCTGTTTGGTCGTGATAGCCGCGTTTAAACGATTGATTCATCCTCTACTTGGTCAAAGTGATGTGATATTTGATTATTGAATATTTCCCAGAAGTAGCGCAACTTTTTCTTTAAAAAATAGCCGAGGATTTTTGTTTCTTCTATTTTGCTCATTTTATCTGGCGTAGCACTTAATCTATACATTTAAATTTAATTTTAAATTTTAAATTCTTCCTCTTTATCGGACCTGTTCACTGTGTTTTTGTGTGTTTTGTCCCTTCACAACATTTCCGCAGTAAACTCGTTGCTACAGTGTGTTCTTCTTTACTTGAGTATTTTGCTGTGATCTACACCAGACTTATAAAGTGTGTTGCTGTTGTGAAGTTTATTTTGTTTTATGTTTTTTTACACATACTGGAAACTTAACCGAGCCATGTCAGCTGACCTCAGTCTTTTCCTTTCTTTTTGTCTTTTGCTTGTTTCAGGATGCTCATCGTGTCGTCTTTCCATTTTCCTTGATGTATTCTTTTGTCCCACTGCCGTTACCTGCCCTGAACGTCTCACCTCTTGGTGCACTAAATTGTTCATAGAAGACTGATAACGAGGCTAACATTGGAACTGGTACTGGCACACTCAAATATACCTTTTTAGAGATACTCCACCCAACATGTGTCTCTTTTAACATCAAACGCACAGCGGGCTTGAAGAGGTGTAGTTTCCTTCACAGAGAAAACCGCTGTGGTCATCGTAAAAGAAAGATTTAGCCTTAATTCTGGTGGTGAGGTCATTGATTGGCTCCTAGAGCACAGCATCTATGTGAAATAAAACATGTTTAACTTCGTCTTAAGAGTCACAGCCACAAAATAATCATTTGGACTCAAAGGGATTGCTGCGGTTGAAGTAGTCTGCAACATTGCCGAGTGCCTAATTGTAAATGATGTTCAATGAATAACCAAATCAGTTCATTAGCAGCTTGGCAGAATGTCAGCACATTTGTAAAAGTGTTTCCTTCTGTGTTTTTATATATCTGTGATTTTATATAAATGCTGTCGTCCTAAATGAAGTTGCCAACTCATCACTGTTACCTGAAAACAGTTGTTTTTTGTTGTGTTGTGTTTCTAAATGAATGATAACACTTTGATTCTTCTACCATTAACTTTTTTTATTTTTCTAAACGGTGAGTTGTATGTGCCAATAAAACACTCGAACCTGACTTCGCTGGATTGCATTTGGATTGTGACACTCTTGTTTGTGTTGGTAGTCCCTCAGGTCACAGGAGTTAATGTGTAAGTTAGTAAAGACACAGATATTTTTTTTTCTCCCTTTGGAGTTGGTGGAGAACAAAACAGAGATAAAGGTAAAGTGAATATTGGACATACAGTATGTCGTGCCCTGAAATACATGAAATGGCCAAAAACGTTTCTGTAATGTTTTCAAGTTCAGTCAATTTCATATCGCACATTTGCCTCGAGGGGCTTTAGTATCTCAGCAGCATACCAAAATCAACCAAATGTATTGGAACTTCATTTAAATTACTTCAGCATATAACTGAAAGTCAAAACTTCTTATAATAACTAATTGTGGCTTACACCATAACAGCATATGACTTTGCTTGTGATTGTTGAAATCTACTGAGACATGAATCTTTTCCGTTGGATACACATTACCTAGTTTAATCACAGTTAATGAAAGGAAGGCTGAATGGTGATGAAAACCAAACTGCAAAGAGTCCCATTTTATTTGACTGGAAATAAACCACTTGAGATAGTACAGTAGCCATTTCAATTTCTAAATACTTACTACTATGTCATACTGACGTGGTTTTAATTCAAACAAATGATCGTGATAGCAGGTAAATACATTTCTTGGGTTTGTATTTTACATTACAAAGAGTGAAATAAGCATTTGATGTACTACTGCTCCTACAGCCCGGGTTCCTGATGATAAACAGTGCCCTCTGCTGGCAACACTGCAGCGTGACCGTGAAGGCTGGAGGCCCGGAGGGTTGCCAGACTTGATATAAAGCGTTACCCAGCACGAACAAATGTGCTTTTGAAAGGTGAGAGAGTGATCATGATTAAGTTACTCAAGTTATAGTTTAAGTTTCTGCTGAAACATTAGGGGGGCACAAGCGGTCCCTTTACGATGTATATTATCTGAAGTGTATCGATGGGCTCGCGGTGCTCCTCGGTTTAGGAGGATGAGCTAAACAGACCTGGCATCCCGTCATAACCAGACGTCAGTGGTCTGCGGCTGTAGCGTTTAGTGAGTTTGCTGCTAGCTTTGTACGGTGCACAATAAACCAGCTACCAAGTAGCTACCAGCGTATTAGTACACGGACAGTGAATAATACACACAGATAACTGTGACGCGTGAGACATTGTTCAGCTCGGTAAGTGTAATAAATACACAAAACCACCAGCAGATACTGTAAAATATGACTATGCTAGCTAGCTAACGCTATACATGTGAGAGACTGCTGGGTCTAAAAGATATATTCGCATGTCTTCTTGTTTACGTTACGAAACGTGTTTCTGATGGCTAACGTTAATCAGCTTTCGCGACATCATGGCTTGCGAATAACGTTATTCTACGTTACTGTCGACATAATAATTATCTTCAGAGATACATCAGCCTCCAGCATGTGTGTGCCGATGCTTGCTTTGTTTATGCCGATAAAGTCGACTCTTCTGTGTGTCTACGCGGCTTTGTTTCGTCATTTGTCTTAGTTAGCGCACTAGCTAACGTGTTTAGGCTTTACATTCAGTTTTTAGAATAAATGTTGCGTCGCACTGGAAAACGGTAAACGGTTTAATGTTACCGTCATGGCTCCATCGACGCTGAACTTGTGCGTGACGTATGTAAATCCTGGTTACACTAAATCTCCCATGCACCCTGCTATTGTAAACTAAAGGCATTTAAACGCATGTGTGTATTGTAGTGTGCGTAGTTTGCTCAGCGGATACTAACGGTACATAGAACACAATGAAGTCTTATTTCATTAGTGAAACACTGAAAGTTGGGCTGCAACCGAAGGACCCTTCATGTGATGCACGCTGTGGACAGATCCATACATGTTTTTACCAACGAAACAGCTGCTGTCGACCTTTGTTAGTCTATATTTCTGATATTTATTCCTGCTTTGGTGTCATTTTTTGGGGAGGAGGGATGGTTCCTGCTGCCAAAACTGCTCCAATTACAGCCAAATTCTACTAAAAGTTATAAATTTTCCAACCGATCCCCTCTGCTACACTGCGAACACTCCTCTGATTGTGTTGCAAGGCCTCTTTCCCAGCTGTTGATCTATATTTGCCCAGAGGTTTGAAGCCATTTTTTGTGGCTTGGTGTGATGTTGACACAGGTAGTCCCAGCCTGTCTTTTACAGTCCTGACTAACCAGTGGGGCTATTTTTACAGCCATGGGTCTAAACCAGTAGTTGTTAGCTGTGTTGTTGTCTCACACAAGGGATCCTGCCCTGGGCTGGAATTGGTGAGCCAGCCCCCTCCTGTCAGCCCACACCAGCCGGGGGCTTTTAATTACACCGTCTGCTCGTCCATCACTTGTGTACAACACACACGCAATGCAAGCAAGGACGAGGATTTTGTCATTTTTTATTAATGTAAACTTTAGTTAATGTGTGCTCCAGTGTTTCCTCGGCGACACTTGGGTTCTGCTACACTAATACAAAAAGCAGTGTCCCCCCCCAAAAGGCCACATTCACTGTTTTTCGACAGGCTTAGATGATACACAAGCGATTAAAGTTAAAAGCCGGTTTAGATATCATCCCCACAAGTAAACATCCGGGGTTGTGCAGAATCTGGACTTGTTGATACACTGCTGCGCCACATAAACCTATTTGCTTGTTATTTATTTTTTTTGCTCCTCTCTTCATAGCAATTGTACCAACTAGTACGCCTGCTGTTAGGAAGCACACACACGCCTATTACTTGGCGGGTTTGTCAACTTGTTTTCATCCTTTTGACGGGAGTGTTTGATTTGTGATGACAGCCTGACAATAGAGTCGTGCCTGCCTGGATAGAATGGACTAGATTTATATACAAACACATCGCTGAATGCATATCTGCACACTCAGATCTCAGACATGTTGTGCTCCCAGCAGTCAGAGAGCAGCTGGGCGTTGAGTGGGTTTTGTGAAAGTGAGGTCATCTTATGTAACCCGGGATGGACCCTCAGTCAGCGTGGAGCCGGTTCTCATGAGATTCACAAAATGAGATTTTTTGATAAATAACCATCAGAAATATGGATATAATGACTAAGTAGGTAAAGGCCAGGGCTCAAGCTGAAGGACGTCCCATCGTCCCGGGGCAAAAAGATAATGGCATCGTACAGTTGTGTGTTTTATTTACTGTGACATCTTTTCTAAACGAGGTTCATTGCTCACCTATAACATATCCTTCCCCAGGAACGTCTTTGCCAAAAGTTTGACCGTGTTTGTGAGGTTTTTATGTATAAAAACATATTACAGATGACTAATGGTTATTATATTTCCATTATTCTTCAATATTGATTGTTGGGCGCTGGCCTCACAATGACAGTTATTGTCAGGCTCTGAATCTGATTCTTGGATTGTTTGTTGCTGTGAAATGAATGCAGGATTGATTCCGTGTGTTTGCAGGGTCACACGATCGATTTCGCCATTCATCTGGAGTGATAGGAGCTCCTTCATGTCTGTGGGTGTAATAAGCATGTTTAAACATCTTACAAATCTGGCAGATTCTATACTAAATATGTGTTGTTTTTGCACTACACTCCTCTACTTCCTTGCCTCTTAATTATTCATCTTGGTTGTTCTTTTCCTTCCAGATGACAACAGGAAGGACTGCAGTGGAACTCTAAACTGTGACACCAGCATCTTCCTCCATCACTGCTCCCACCTTCCTCTCGTCCGCCCGCTGCTCTTTCTGGTTGCCTCCTTCGAGTTCTCAACATGGCGACCATGTCCCCACTCTGGCTGTGCCACTGACCTCCACCCTGGACCACCGCCATGGAGAGAAAACGCAGAAAGAAATTCATCTAGCTGCTCAGGCCGTTCTCAGTATGGACTCAGTTTTGGAGCTCTGGACCTGATAATGCTCTGTCCCGAACCTTTAATCCCCCAACCAGGTTGTCTGCTGCTCAGTTTTCCTCTTGACGCGCCACGACTGCTGCTGAAGTATAAAAGTGCCCGCTCAGACTGATGGTCTGCGCTGCTTCACAACTCAAGATGCTCCTGCTCCCGGTGTGGGCGTCCATGGTTTTGGGGCTGCTGATGGGCTTCCTGCCTGTGGTGGGGATGGAGCCGACGCGAGGAGCCGCATCGGACTCTGACCACGCCCCCAACGTAGAGCCCCTCCCCTCGTCGTCAAGCTCCAACTGCTCCGACTTAACCGTCAAGCTGGAGTTCTCCACCAAGGTGGTGGAACATGGTAAGAAGAAGTTGTTCAGACTGGTGGATGTGTTTTTAACAGTGCCTTTATAAGTCAGTTCATTTTTATTTATTTTTATATATATACACAACAATTTGACCATACAGTTATGGAAGTGGTAAAGTAAATATCATCTAACATAATATTCTACTAGGTCCATACATTTATATGTATTTATTTTAACAGAATTTCTCAATAATTGTAAACTTCAGTCGTGTAACCCCATCTAAGATGTAAGCCATTCTATGAGGGCATTAAGACGCTACCACACTTCAGTCCCTTCCATCATAACAGCGAACTGAGCTCAGGATTTAGCATGCCCCATCCAAGCTAGTTGCAGCATGGATGCTGCTTTAATTGGACTCTTACATGTGGCTCCCTTGCATACACATTGCTTATTAGCTCGTCTGCTCTTCAAAACGTTCTCCTCTCCGTCTCCCCAGAGTACATCATAGGGTTCACGGGGTATTTCTCGGCCAAAGCCCGCAGCCTGTACATCAGTAGCGCCCTGCGGAATGCCGCGGACGACGGAGCGCTGGAGTGGCGCATCGTCCCTCGGGAGAACCCCGCCTCCGACTTCCCCAGCGACTTCGAGCTGGTCCACATCCGGCAAGCCTCGCCCGGCAGCCTGCGGACCCTAGAGGACCACCCTTACATCAAGAGGGTGACGCCGCAGCGCAAAGTGTTCCGCATGCTCAAATACACTCTCTGTAAGTCCTGACGGCATGGTGGTTATTGTGTAGCAAGGTTGGCACGTCTCCCCGAGAAATGTGGAACTCTGAAGAGATAGAAAAAGCTGTTTTGTCTGCCACAGTTCACTGAACATCTCTTTGTCTGTTGAGTCAGAGGATGCATTTCTCCCTCCACTGTTTCTGTGGTGCGGGAGAAGGATTGTATATCTTAATGCGAAGTGCAGGCCAACTTGTGGGGGGTGTTTATGCTGGTCAGGGTGTGTGTGTGTTCGTGGTGTTGGGGGATGGGAGGGAGGACAGAGAAGGTCTGTTTGCTCACCCTAGGAGAGAGTAGGTGAGTCAGTGTGGCGGGGCTTGCCTGGATTGGGGGGGGCACACCCTGTGTCTGGCACTGGATGAAAGTCCTCAGTGTGCACCCAGTGTGTATACACACATGCAGTGTCAGTATGGAGGCCATGTGTTGCGCCTTTTATGTGCTGGATTGCTTGAAAACGAACAACAGAGAAGTTTTTAGTCTTTTACAGATTAAGATTCTGTTGAAAGCTTTTTTAATGTAACGGACGGTTATCTACTGTGCAAAGTTTTAGAGATAATAAGAATATCAGATAGTCCTTTAAGAAGAATAGTTCATTGGTTTACTTTTATACTATATGATGTCAAAATGTTGACATTGTTGGCATTCAACCTGTTCATACTTTCTGAAATATCCAACGTCCACTTTCCCTCGACCGGTTTACACTTTCAGCCTCAAACTTCATATTTTCAGCATCATCTTCCGGACATCATTGGTTTTGTTCATCTCCTATAGATGCCATTCGTACTCGGAGAAGTAAATAGAAGGAACCTTCAAACCCACTTCTCTCCGACCTCTTGGTGCTCATCCAGACATTCACGTGGACGCCGTTCATTCAAACTTTACGGCACACGGTACATTCATTCAGCTGTTTCATGCCTTTCCTGTTATTGTGGCTCATTTTTAACTTTGGACAGAATGTTCCACTGGGTGAAGTCACACACACTCTGGGGCTGTAGTCAACCGAAGAAAGTCTGTGTTGAATGAAATTCTAACTGCTCTCTAACCAATCCGATTGGTCGATGGGCAGAGGAGAATACACCGGCGACAGTGCCCGAATTCATTATACATAAACATGAAAAGCTATTTGCAGCATATAGAATTATCTTAACCTATTTTATACGTAAATGATAACGGACTCCACCAGTGTGCACCTGCACATATTCCGAAAATAATACCTCAACAATTCTTTTATATGCAAATGAGAGAGAAAAAAAGAAAAGGCCCCGTAAGTACTGCTCGGGAGTCGAGACTGCAAAGGGTCACACAAACCTGGATGCACACGGTTCAAGTTGCTAGGCGACAGTATCACTAATAGCCGCATTTAAAGTGAGCTTAAAGCAGAGCACTTTGGAGAAGCTAATGGCAGCACTGCAGAGCCGAGTCCGTGCCGTGTTCAGCTCGATACGTAACCGAATGGTGGGTTTATTAACTGAAGTGTAAGAATTCATTCTGAGCGCGTGCGTGCGTGTCAGAGGCCGTTACTGAGACGCATATCTGAGGCCGTCGTGTTGAGACTTTGGATTGAAAAATAAAATAGAAACCAAAAGAAGAGTTGGGAAAGTGTCCGTAGTGTTTACTCAGCTCCTGGGAGCCGAGATGAGATCGCTCTAGATGAGACTTGAACCTGGTTATCGAGTGGAATACCTGAGAAACGTACGTCAACGTCCATGAAGCGGCTACACAGTGAGCTAATTAATCAGGAGGAGAGATAAGAGAGACGACCTCACTCCTGCATATCAGTCCTACTTTAAAGGCATGAAAACCGCCCGCGGGGCTCTGCTGCTGTTTGTCAACGGCCTCGTGATCATTTATTCTGTCTGTTCAAAGTGTGATAAGATTGACTCGAACGAGGCTGGTTTGCTTAAAGATGGAAGGAGGGAGAGAGACAGAAGGAAGGGGACGAAAGAACCAGGGAGAAGTGAATGATCAGAACACGTTAATCTCCTTTAGGTTAACAGGAAGATAGTGTTGTCTGCAGGAGGCGCTGTGGTGGCCGACAGCAGTGACGGGGCATGTTCTTAACAGCTGCATGAAGTCTGAACTGAAGCTGAATACAGAATGTAGAGGACTTTTTAATCTGACCTTTTGCTTGTGCTTTGTGTTCCCGTAGCGCCCGAACCCGCCACTCCTGGCAACGCCACCCGCTCGTGGCAGTCGTCCCGCCCCTTCCGGCGAACCAGCCTGTCGCTGAGCTCGGGCTTCTGGCACGCCACTGGTCGCCACTCCAGCCGGCGGCTGCTGCGGGCCATCCCCCGCCACGTCGCCCAGATCCTGCAGGCCGACGTGCTCTGGCAGATGGGACACACCGGTTAGACCTCGCACCTTTGACTTCTCTGATAGAGGGGGCCGGGACAGGGGGGACATGGGGAGACAGAGGGGACAGGGGGGACACGGGACTGTTTGCGCGATCAAACAGAAATTGCATTTAATGAAACGATGCTCATGACAAAACTAAGAGGGATCACTCTCATTTCTGTGTACAGGATCCGGTGTGAAGGTGGCAGTGTTTGATACAGGCCTGAGTGAGAAGCACCCGCATTTTAAGAACGTAAAGGAGAGGACCAACTGGACTAATGAAAAAACACTGGATGACGGTGAGGAGGAAAGAAAACATAGTGATGACGATGGCTGCTGCCAATGACTATCAATATAAATGCTCAAGACATCCGTGCTAATGATAGTATTGATGATGGTTATTAGTAGACTGCAGTTGCACTGGCAGGGCCGGTACGAGACCTAAAGAGAGAGAGAGAGAGAGAGAGAGAGTGTGTGTGTGTGTGTGTGTGTGTGTGTGTGTGTGTGTGTGTGTGTGAGTGAGAGACAGAGAGAGACAGAGAGAGACAGAGAGAGACACAAAGACGGTTGGATTATGGACGGTTTCTTGCTCCCTGTTCTCCAGGTCTGGGCCACGGTACTTTTGTAGCAGGAGTGATAGCCAGCATGAGGGAGTGTCAGGGCTTTGCCCCCGACTCGGAGCTGCACATCTTCAGAGTGTTCACCAACAACCAGGTACTGACAGCGCATGGCCTCAACGTGCACTGTGCTTTAGTCCAGCTGTGGTGACGTTGGGAGAAAATGTTAAAAGAATGTGAATGAAATGATCAAGAAAAGTCCAATGAAAGACATTTGCTAGAGAAGAGGATGATTGGTGTTTCGAGACTTTATAGGAATAGTTGAATATTTTGGGATGATACTCTGAGCATAACCTCAGGAAAACTTTTTGTATAGATTTTAAAGAAAATAAACATGGTACGACATATTCTACTCCTGAGCATAAGAGGTGCTGGACAGACTTTCTACCATTGAACAAAGCCCCCCCCCCCCCCGGTTTCCAGTTGTTATGCTAAGCAAAGCTAACAGGTTGCTAGCTGTAGCTTCCTTTAATTCACTAAACAGGCAGACATTAGAGTGGTTTCAATCTTCTAAATCTTACTCTAATAAAAAAATAATTGTATTCCCCAAAATGTGGAACTATTCCTTTTTTAAATGATATTGTCTGGCATTACTGGTCAATTTCAGGATTTGCTTCTCTATTCAAGTGTTCCAGTGCAGCTTCAAGCGCAACAGTTACGCTGTCTGATCCAACAAGAAGATAACCAGAAACTCTGATATCAATCGTTCCGTCGTAAGCCTTCTCCACAAACCAATGATGGATCACCATCGGATCACATCCTCTCCTCTCCTCCCAGGTATCGTACACGTCGTGGTTTCTGGACGCTTTCAACTACGCCATCCTGAAGAAGATTGATGTTCTCAATCTCAGCATCGGGGGGCCTGACTTCATGGACCACCCGTTTGTTGATAAGGTATGAGAGACTAGTTCTAATCCATAAACTGGGTGGGTGGTATCCTCACAGAGAGACACACTCGGGAATGCTCCCGTCACATCCAGCATTTGGTCGGCTTTGACTGATTTTAAACCAGGTAGACGAGAGCTGCTAGCAGATGTTTGGATGTCTGTCTAAGCATATCAATAGTCAGCACCTTATTTGCACTCTCGGTAAAGAAAGTCTAAAATACGAATTAAATGTAACCCATTAATACAAATTTAATTTTTTCCCAATCAATTTTCTTCTTTGATTGACAGGTGTGGGAGCTCACTGCCAACAAAGTGATCATGGTGTCTGCTATTGGCAATGATGGACCTCTATATGGGTATGCTAATCACTACAATAACTCTTAATTATAAAATATTGTGATCTTTAATCATCTCACTCTTCTTCTTTTTTAAGTTTCTGGTCTTTTTAAAGTTTTAAAAAGCATTTAATTCTGTTCCCTTTTTTTAAATGTTATATATACTGTATATATACACACACACACACACACACACAGAGTTGTGTGAAAAAGTGTTTGCCCCCTTCCTGATTTCTTATTTTTTTGCATGTTTGTCACACTTAAATGTTTCAGATCATCAAACAAATTTAAATATTAGACAAAGATAATACAAGTAAACACAAAATGCAGTTTTTAAATGAAGGTTTTTATTATTAAAGGGGGGAAAAAATCCAAACCTACATGGCCCTGTGTGAAAAAGTGATTGCCCCCCCCGTTAAAACATAAATTAACTGTGGTTTATCACATCTTTGGAAAGCTGAGTTCAGTTTCTCTAGCCACACCCAGGCCTGATTACTGCCACACCTGTTCTCAA